ATAAGCGAATTTAACTGCTTACGTAAGGCTCTATTGATCCTCAGTAAAAAGGTAAATAAAAGATGAAAGTGGTTATCGGCCCCATAGGTGATCGGCGTGTTGATTGGTCACTCCACCCCCCCCCCACTCTACACCCTCCTACCTCTCATAACCATGTAAATTAAGTATTTTTCATTTGAAACATGTTTTGATATTTGGTATATGTTTTTTATTTCCTTTTATTTCCACAAAAATATATTTTTAAAGGTTGCAACTTCCGTCATTTTCAGCACCATCTTTTAAAATTTAACTCCCAAAAATCCACATTTTTTCACCAATTTTTTAAAATTTGGTTTCAAAGGTAGGAAAAGTTACTCTTTAAAGGAAATAAGCTTTTATTTCAATCATTTCAAGTTATAAGAAGATATGGAATTTCGAAGTCATCGCGCAAGTGCAAGTCGACAGAGACCTGACCGCTGAGTTTACTATTAAAAAATACACATCAAGCTGACTTATGTAGAGCTTATCAGTTACTAGTATACTTCATACACCTCGTTTAAGCCAAAAAAGCTATTCTTTATTTTCATTTTTTAAATATTTTTTTATCAGCTTGTTGCAATTTCCACAGCATTACTAATTTGCCATAACTCTGAGCCATATTTGGTTTCTTCTTGCCATGGCAATTATAGTGATAAACTATTTTGTATTTTGCTTTCTTTATTTTTAAATATTCTATTTTTAGCGCTATTTTCCTCAGATTATAAGTATCTCAAATATTCCAAATAATCTTTTTCAATATTATAATACACGTGTTTCCCTCTCTAGAAAAGATAAAAAAAAACAAAACAAAAAAACAACAGTTTTTACTGGGGCTCTCTGATACTATGTCGTGGCCACGAGATAGCTAAGTCGATTCTACGAGATCATTAACCAATTAAAATACACTATATACAGTTGACTTCACACTAAACTTCCCACCCACTTTGGGGACTTATGGCATATTCGTGAAAATAAATAAGTAAATTTTAAAATCAGCAGTTTTAACATTTTACATGACATCATGCTAAAGCTCAAGATTGAAATAAAATTCTTTTTCATTTATTGTAATCATATTTATATTTACCAGTATTTAACTGTAAGTATAAAAATACCCTTTAAAATCAAATTTATGGAATTAATAAGGTTAAATTTGAATATGCTCACCATGTAATGGGTAATAACTTGCAGTTTTTTAAAGCTTTTTTAATACATGACCATATATTTTAATTTTTCTTGTGTACAAATGGGAAATCAATGTAACAATTCTGGCCCAATATCTTCAGTTTGTAACAACATAAACTTTTTTTATTAAGCTCAATCAAATCAAGGAAAGGTTTAAATTTAAGTTAAAATATTATCTTTAAAATTTATAACTTAAAGGCTTTCCTCTTGTTTAATATTGAAAGATATTCATCTGTAAAAAGGCTTGCATATTTTTTAAAGATAGAAATAATTAAAATATTATCCATAAAATAAATAAATTTGATACCATTTTTTACGATTTAAAAATTAATGTATAAAGGGAATACTTTTATTTAAGAGGAAAGTCTCAAGTCAAACGTAACTTTTTTTGTCAAGCAAACGGGCAAATATCTGAATTATTCTTTTTAGTACAAGGGTGAATGTAGTAAATAAGGGGACCAATTATCTCTGTATATTTTGTATATGATTTGTTATGTTCTATGCAGAGATATTGGTCATCTTGATACGTAATATATGGTAGAATTGCTAGTATTGAAATAGGTATTGGGAACTCCTTATCTCACAATACGAAGATGACCCATCCTCTTTTACCCTGGGTGGTACAGAAAATCTCTAAAGACTTAAACTTAAACTCTGTGCTAATGTCTCCGATTTTCACAACAATATAATAAATATTCTTTGCCAGATAATTGTAAATGTAATTTTATTCTAAATCAGGCCAAGAGTTTATTTAAAATAAAAACAAATATCGAGAATTTACAATCCTTTTCGGAACAATGTTTCGATACCATGTTCTATGCGAAAGTACAAGAAATAAATTGGAATTAACATCTCAGTGAAGGTCGGCGGCACAACAATTATTTTATAATAATCTTATATAAAATGTATCATATTTCCTGATGATTTAATAAACAATGACGGTCAATTCTGTAGTTCTACAGTCTACATAAAATATTGAACAAACTATCTTTATCTCCTAACAAAGCGAAGGACTTTTAAGATCTCTTACAAATTCAAGAGTAAACCTCAACAATCAATATCAAACCTTTTAACAATAACCAATTATTCATAAGCAGCTTTAAGCATTTGCGAAGGACATAAATGGATGTCATACTTGTGGAAAAATAAATTACCCTTCAAAAATCTGAAAAACGAAACAAGAACAATTACTACCGAATCGTTCAAATGGAATAAAATAGAGAAATATGGAATCCCTAACGAGTTTGTGCGATTGTTAACAAACTTACGTCGAAAACGAATCTAAGATATGTCCAAAACAAATCAATTAACAGAATTCTTGCAAAAGCACCTTTTTTTGCTAACATTGTCCTAAAATTGGAATAAAAAAATGAAAATTACGGGCATCTTTTGTAGTGTAAATAGTGAGACAATTTCATAGATGTTTTATAATGTTATTATGTGAGCAAAATATTTATTCTAGTGGCATTATATATATGTATATAAAACATACACACATGATAAGAATAATTACCAAAAACACCCGGCCCATTAGACATAAAAGTCACCTTATTATATTAATTGTACAACTATATAAACGATAAACAATACATTGTGAAAACGGAACATTTAAATGAGATCAATGTTGCTGCTGGACACGCAAATTTCATATTTCAGACTTGATCAAGTACAGTCAATATATCATCATGTTTCACTATTTGCAAGTTATATGTCAGTAAGCAGATTTCTCCAATACATTAATGCTTAATGAGACATTTTATAACTTCATTCTGTTCTGGTTATTACTACTTTTTCATTGAAATACATCGTTTGTAATGATATCATTAATAACATGTCTTCCGGGGCGGGCACACACTAAAGAAATGAGCTTCATCTTCAGTTGATCGCAATTGGTATAAAGTTTAGAGTCTTTGATTTGGCGACATATCTTCCGGTTTCTAAACACAACGACGGAATTCAACACCAAAACTTGCATAGATTGAGCGTTCATTTCATTTAAAAGTGGGTGAATAAGTCTTTACAAATTACTTGCTGCGCTTGAGTTATTGTAATCCATATTAAACACCCGTTCTGTAATCCTATCATAACTTTATTAACCAGTCTTTTCTATACCGGACAATACAAATCCATCTTCTGTACCTTCTTGTACATTATCCGCTTCTTGAAATGTTTGAAACCCCAAACGGAAGCACAATAATAAAAAAAATAGTAACACCATACGTGTAATATAACTGTTCAAACGTTTTAAATCCGCTATGTTTTAGACCATTTTTCTTTGGTAATAATACTACCAAGAGCCCGATTAGCACTTTTGCAGTTACACTTGTAGCTGAGTTGTGTTTTTCATGAAAAATAACACCAAGATATTTGCATTTGTCGGCTGTTTCAAGATAATCATTATGTTAAAAACATAACATATAAAGAACACATGGGTTTGTGGGTAACAGTAAAAATATCATCCCGAGGAAAATACTGTTACCCGAGGCGTAGCCGAGGAGAAACATTTTTACGAGGAATGATATTTTACTGTTACTCACAAACCCATGTGTTATTTATTCTATTACCCCGAACAAATACTGTGATGAAGCTCAGTCTAACTGTAACACAAGTATTCATGAGCATTTCCAAAAATACTTGGATTCGCCGTTCAGCCATGAATATAGAAATAACATTCCATTTCTTGCCTAATATATTTATTGTATATGGTCAACACAAAAAGTCAACAAAATAATTGATTTATTCTACTAGTTTTGAGATTTACTAAACGCAAAATACAATTAGTTACATTACATGCGCTACTTAATTAGTGCATCAATCGGCAAAAATTATTCGCTTCGTGTGAAGCCTTACATTGTGAATGTTTTGATTCATGCATTCTATTTCTATACTCCGTTTAAAACGGACTAAAACTGACCTATGCTGGCCCGGAAGAAAGCATTCTTTTAGTGCAAGTTTTGGAAAGAAAACAAAATATACTCTTATTTAGACTATATTCTCTTATCAGAAATGACATGTAGCAAAAATAAATATTGCAATATGCTGTGTTTATCCTGCAAGAGACCGAAGACTGGTACTAAGTTCGTACATTGATAATGGTATTTTTCAGTTATACGAACAATTAACCAAATTTAAAGACAAATATGGCGGCTGGGCGAGTCCATTTAAGCACCCGTCATTTAAGTTTTTTTACGTCCATCTTGTAATCATGTGATATTAAATTATTTGCTTTGATTGTCTAAAGGCAGGTGGTGTACAGGAAGAACTGTTCAAATCTTGTCAATTGTATATATCGCCGTCCAGGAACAGCGATAATAATTGAACTGGCGGCCATTTTATTTCATTTGCTATAGCAAATAGACCACACGACCAGATTAAGTACTGATTAAAAGCACTGTTACCCTGTATATGTACAAATGTACTATTCACATGGTACACTTGCATTAACAGTATAATTAGTCTCAGTGGCCTATGGGATATTAACATAACAGGCAATATTGAAAACAAATTGCCCGCATAAATCTAAAATGTATACTTAAGATAAAAATTTAAATACTCAAACTAAAAAGTAAACGCTTAAATTGCCATTAAAAAGATGAAATGTACATTTAATACCCCTCTTGGGATAAATTTAGTAACAAATCTAGACATGAGGTTGCTGTAAAACATACAGCATTTCGATTAAATTGTCCTCTTTATAGCAATTATTCCAAGAATAATGATTTACTAAAAAATTGAAAGGCCAGTTTAACCAACCGTTCGAATCAGTACACCGCCGTGATAAATATTTAATCGTGTAACTTTAAAATATCATATTACATATAGTAGTCATCTACATAATCATTTGATGTAACGTTTGTTGGTTGAGTCACTAACGCGCTGGATTTGGTTTTATAACACTGTCACAATGTTGAATTGGCAAGGATTTATTATCTACGCTTCTCTTTTTGTATGTGAGTAGACAGTTGTATTATCTATTTGCACGAATAGGAAAGTATTAGTTGTATGTGTTGTTGTTTTCTTTTCATTTTTTTTGGTATTTATAAAACTGTATTATGTATGTTGTCTGCAGTTTACAATTTTTATTGGAATTAAGAACGAAAAAAAAATCTAGATTACCTTCTAACATAGAAAATGTTTGTATACCTTCTTTAGAGTAAATAGCGCGTGCAAACTATTTAAAATCCTACTTAAAATAGACGCATAATTTTGCATTTCGTAACATTTTATTCTGTTTACACACGTTGAATTATAGCCGAGACATTTTATGTAACAACTCTGTAAGATTTTGGAAAACAATATATGTTAACCGTAAAAATATTTCATTAGATATAGCTTTATACCCTATATATCAACGTTAAATGCGAAATAAACTTTGTATTTTTATCATATTGCAATCTTGAAAAGTAGATTATAAAGATATATAGGTTCGGTGATACTGAGTTAAAGCGGATTAAACAGGGTTTTAACTGTTACATGCAAATAAGACGAAACAAGGAAGAAATAAATACCGTATCTAATTTTATTCTATTATTTGCGGTCCACTTATTAAAGTTTTCAAAGGACTTTGCTTGGGAAATAAGCAAAAATAAAACAGGAACAAAAATATATTGATTGCTTTTACATAACCGACTGCATAACACATAAAAAATAACATAACATAATCTTTATTTTGCATAAAATAGCACTAGAATACATGTAGAAAATATACTTATTAACATGTCATGAATACATGGAACTTCACGGACGCCACCGTTCTATAGTTATTTAGCGTTTTGACATAAAAGATATATCGCCATTTTTGTTTCAGGGATATAAAACTTCAACAAACAAACATGGCTATATTATAAATTTTAATACTAGGTTATCTAAAGAATAATTGAGCCGCGTCATCACAAAACCAACATAATGGGTTTGCGACCTGCATGGATCCAGACCAGCCTGCGCATCCGCGCAGTCTTGTCAGGATCCATGCTGTTCGCTATCAGTTTCTCTACTTGTAATAGGGTTTGTAAGCGAACAGCATGGATCCTGATCAGACTGCGCGGATGCGCAGGCTGGTCTGGATCCATGCTGGTCGCAAACGCACTATGTTGGTTTTGTCGTGACGCGGCTCAAATCTCTTTAGGTTTCTCAATTAATGGTACAATATAAGGGACTCCACTGAGGTTTAAAAGCCTAAAAACATAACATTTGAATTTCTTACATACATGAGCTGGGGCACTTTAAATAGAAATATATGAAAAGATAGAAATAGGCCCCTATACTTTGAAATAAATTGAAAATCGTATTTTTATGCTTTTCTTAGCCCGTTTTGAGTGAAAAGCGTTTAAACGTCTTTCATTTTGTGTCATCTGTTTATAATTTGAATAATTATTCCGGAAAAACGAAGTGCGCGAATGATCTGAAATTTTGCACAAAGATTAGTGGTCTAAACATACATCACATTTATCTGGAAAAAAATAGTTTCAGTCCCATCATGTCAAAACAACCTCAGTGGAGTCCCTATAACCCTCAGAAATGTTATATTTTTATTTTCCAAAAGCTTAATTTTTGGTGTCCTGTCATACATGTAGTTTTCAAAACGTCATGCATTGGTCTCATAGATTAATCATCTTTTACATTCTTTGCAATATGGGAATTTGTACATTAATAATGATTTAGTATTTTGTATGGAAGTAAAACAAAACACAACTTGTATATCTATGAAACATATATCACATTCTCCGAGTTATTATCATTCAATTATAATATGCTCTATATTTATCATTACACATGTTTGTCCTGTCTACAGAAGGCAAATGTATTCATTTCTGAGGCTCATTGTGCCTATATGACTTTAAGTGTTGAATTAGACAACTTATTTCAAACACAAAATAGCAATTTAAAGTAATAACGCTAGAAACTTTAACTATTTGAGTAAACCCATTAACTTGTTCACACTTGGTATCAATTTTCGAGTCATGTGCACGCGTCATTATCTGCGTCGAGATTTATTTCTATTTTTGTAAATAAGAAATATTGCAATTAAAAATTTTTAATTTTGATAAGTTAAAAAATATCTTCGATGGCCATGAAAAAAAACCCACCCACATTCTTTGTCGAAATTGTTATACATTTACTCAACTTTTACGGCATTCATAGTACCAGTGTCACAGTATATTTATAAACAATCGTTAGTAAGGTACAAGTTAAAATATGTCCCAAGTAGGGTACAGTGATCGGAAGTAACAAATACTTTTACTCGCAAGACATGGTACACATTAAATTATATCATGTATATGGGCTCACAAGATACGGTACAATGATTTTGTTTATATACTGTGAGTGTTGTACATTCTAAAAGTCTGAGCACACATTGTTTACGTGTCCCACAAAATAAGCGTCATTAATTTAAAGCTTGACTTCATGGTTTATCTATTAAATTACTAATGTGCGTTTACTTCGGCATATACATACAAAGTGGTAAATATCTTCTATGTCATGAAAGGAATATTTTTCATTGGGTAAAAAAGATATTTATCCGCGAAATTTGTGATTGTAACCTCATATTTCTATTGACTACTATAAACTTTTAATGCACTGTAATTAGTTAAATGCTTACATTAAAAATTATTCTATATTTTAAATTGCTGGTTTTTAAGCAGTTCTGAGTGAGAACTACTTTGCGTTGTTAGGTCTGTTAGGAAAATTTGTGTAAGACCGTGGATGTTAGCTATGTATTTACTGATCTTGCGATCAGAAAATACAAAAACTTAAATTATAAGGTACTATGTCTAACTATTTTTCATATGTAAAGGATCTTTTGCTATATGAGTACTATTTCTGCTATCTGCTCCAAACCATTCTTGTTTAAAATAATTGTTCTAGTTTTAAATATAGGTTGGAGATGTTTAACAGATAAACCATCATTACTTTTACAAATAAGAAAGTCCATAATCATCTAGAACATATATCTTACGACTGTCAGTATTTATCTCTGCACGTGCTGGAAATCCGTGGATTCAAAACTTCCTTTTCAAATTTTGTCCTGATTAAACTTGAACTTTTTAAGCGATTCTGTTTAAAGTTTAAATGACATTCAGTAAATATATAATTAAAAAAAACAACAACACACAATTTACATTGAGCTTAAAAATAAACTGCAACCAATTATTGAGTACAAAATGAATAAAGGATATTCAAGTTTCTTCTACAAATACAGGATTTATTTTCAACAATATTTCACGAGTGGCAATAGGCACCAGTAAAATATGATAATTTTCATACCACAAGAAGAAAAGAAATCCTGTATTAAAAGTAAAAAACTTGAATTTTCTATTTATTATATACTTTTCTCTTTTTTGTGCCCCACTTTAGGGGACAGGGGATTGTATGTGAGAAGTTAGCAGTTAACAGTGAGCTAAGCAAAAAGGCATAACGATTTATATAGGGAAATCAATGATCTGCTGTTATGCTCAGCTGGGTAAGCAATCTAGCAGAGCATTCCAAAATAAAGTGTAGAAATGCTTTGCTGGTATGCTCAGCTGGGTAAGCAATCTAGCAGGCCATTACTAAATATAGTGTAAAAATGCTCTGCTGGTATGCTCAGCTGGCTAGGCAATCTAGCGGGGCATTCCAAAATATAGCGTAAAAATGCTCTGCCGGTATGCTCAGCTGGCTAGGTAATCTAGCAAGGCATTCTAAAATATAGTGTAAAAAAACTATGCTGTTATACTCAGCTGGCTAAGCAATCTAGCGGGGCATTCCAAAATATAGTGTAAAAAGCTCTGCTGTTATACTCAGCTGACTAAGCAATCTAGCAGGGCATTCTAAAATATAGTGTAAAAATGCTCAGCTGTTATGCTCAGCTGGCTAAGCAATCTAGCGGGGCATTCCAAAATATAGTGTAAAAATGCTCTGCTGTTATGCTCAGCTGCCTAAGCAATCTAGCGGGGCATTCCAAAATATAGTGTAAAAATGCTCTGCTGTTATGCTCAGCTTGGTAAGCAATCTAGCGGGGCATTCCAAAATATAGTGTAAACATGATCTGCTCGTATGCTCAGCTGGCTAAGCAATCTAGCAGGGCATTCCTAAATATAGTGTAAAAATGCTTAGCTGTTATGCTCAGCTGGCTAAGCAATCTAGCGGGTCATTCCAAAATATAGTGAAAAAATGCTCTGGTGGAATGCTCAGCTGGCTAGGCAATCTAGAAGGGCATTCCTCAATATAGTGTTAAAAATGCTCAGCTGGCTAGGCAATCCAGCAGAGCATTCCTAAATATAGTGTAAAAATGCTCTGCTGGCAAGCTCAGCTGGCTAAGCAATCTAGCAGAGCGTTCCAAAATATAGTGCGAAAAATGCTCTGCTGGTATGCTTAGCTAGCTAAGCAATCTAGCAGGGCATTCCTAAATATAGTGTTAAAAATGCTCAGCTGGCTAGGCAATCCAGCAAAGCATTCTGAAAATTAGTGTAAAAATGTTCTGCCGGAATGCTGAGCTGTCTAGGCAAACTAGCAGGGCATTCTTAAATAAAGTATAAATTTCGTTGGTCTGCAACTGATTTTTTGGCACTCGTAGACTTTCTGAAATATATAGTGCCAATGCAGATAATGACATTTTTGACTTCTACGGGACCCTCAAGTGTCTATTTCTTTGGTCTCCGACTGATTCTGGGACGATCGCAGACTTTCAGGAATTTTTGGTGTTAATGCAGATAATGACATTTGTGATTTTTTAGGACCATCCAGAGTCCATTTCGTTGGTCTGCGAATGTTTCTGGAACACTCGCAGACTTTCAGAAATTTTCGGTGCCAATGGAGATAATGACATTTTTACTTCAAAAGGACCCTCCTGAGTCTATTTTGTTGGTCTGCGACTGATTCTGAGTCACTCGCAGACTTTCAGGAATTTTGGTGTCAATGCAGAAAATGATATTTCTGACTTATTGGGACCTTTCTGAATCCATTCTTTTAGTCTGCGCCTGATTCTGAGGCACTCACAGACTTTCAGGAATTTTTTATGTCAAGGCAGATAATGACATTTTTTACTACTTTTTTGGTCTGCGACTTAATCTTGGACAGTCACAGACTTTCAGGAATTGTTGGTGCCAATAGAGATAATTACAATTTATGACATTTTTGACCATCCAGAGTCTATTTCGTTGGTCTGCGACTGATTATAGGGCACTCACAGACTTTCAGGAATTTTTGGTGCTAATGCAGATAATGACATTTTAGGGTAAAAATGCTCTGCTTATGACTAAGTGGTCCTTAAAAGTAAAAAAGTCATGATCTGCAATGGCACTTAACATCCTGAAAGTCTGCGAGTCTCAAGGAATCAGTCGCAGACCCAAGAAATGTACTCTGGCGGTTCCCTAAAAGTCAGAAATGTCATTATCTCCATTGGCATCAAAATTCCTGAAAGTCTGCAAGTTTCCCAAAATCAGTCGCAGACCAGCGAAATGAACTTTGGTGGGTCGCTAGAAGTCAAAAATGTCCATATCTCCATTGGCACCAGAGATTCCTGAAAGTCTGCGAATGTCCCAGAATCAGTCGCAGACCATTAAAAATGGACTCTGGCGGGTCCCTAGAAGTAAAAATTGCCATCATCTCTATTGGCACCAAACTTTCCTGAAAGTCTGCGAGTGTCCAACAATACGCTGCAGACCAATGAAATGGACTCTTAAAGGTCCCTAGAAGTCGAAAATATGAATATTTCCATTGGCACCAACCATTCCTGAAAGTCTGCGAGTGTCCAAGAATCAGTCGCAGACGACCGAAATGGACTCTTGAGGGTCCCTAGAAGTCTTAATTGTCAATATCAGCATTGGCACCAAAATTCCTGAAAGTCTGCGAGTGTCCTTCAAAAAGTCGCAGGACAATGAAATAGTCTCTTAAAGGTCCTTAGAAGTCAAAAATATCATTATTTCTATTTGCACCAAAAATTCCTGAAAGTCTGCAAGTGCCTCAGAATTGCCTAGAAGTCGAAAATGTCAATAAAACTTTGGCAACAATAAATCCTGGAACTCAGAATCAGTCTGCCAACTGAGCATTCCACCAGAGCATTTTTAAACTATATTTCGGAATGCCTTGCTAGATTGCCTAGCCAGTTTAGCATTCCAGAAAAGCATTTGTTCAATATATTTAGTAATGCTCTGCTAGATTGCCTAGCCAGCTTAGCGTTCCGGAATAGCAGAGCATTTTTACACTGTATTTAGTAATGTCCTGCAAGATTGCCTACCCAGCTTAGCATTCCAGCAGAGCATTTTTACACTATATTTAGTAATGCTCTGCTAGATTGCCTAGCCAGCTTAGCATTCCAGCAGAGCATTTTTTCACCATATTTAGGAATGCCCTGCTTGATTGCCTAGCCAGCTTAGCATTCCAGCAGAGCATTTTTACACTATATCTAGTAATGCCCTGCTAGATTGCCTAGCCAGCTTAGCATTCCAGAATAGCATTTGTACACTATAATTAGGAATGCCCTGCTAGATTGCCTAGCCAGCTTAGCATTCCAGCAGAGCATTTTTACACTATATTTAGTAATGCCCTATTTAGAACGCCTGCTGGAGCAGCTAGCTTAGCTTGCCAGCTGAGCATTCCAGCAGAGCATTTTAACACTATATTTAGTAATGCACTGCTAGATTGCCTAGCCAGCTGTGCGTTCCAGCAGAGCATTTTTTCACTAAAGCTAGGAATGCTCTGCTAGATTGCCAAGACAGCTGAGTATTGCAGCAGAGCATTTTTACACTATATTTAGGAATGCCCTGCTAGATGCCCAAAACAGCTGAGCATTACAGCAGATCATTACCTTCTCTATATAAATTGAAATGCCTTTTTGCTTAGCTCACTGTTCACTGCTAACTTCTCACATATCAGGGGATTAATATTTTCCCTTGTCCGCCGTCCGTTCTCATTTTTTGTCGCACGTAACTCAAAAGTATTTGACATAGAGTCATGAAACTTTACAGGACTATTGCTCAGCATGTGAAGTTGTGCACCTGGGTATTTTTGTGTGGATTTATTCAGGATTTGTTATTGCCTTTGACTTAGTAAAACTTCGCAATTTTTAACTTGTGTCGCACGTAGCTCAAAAAGTATTTGACATAAAGTCATGAAACTTTACAGGAATGTTGCTCAGCATGTGAAGATGGGCACCTGGGGTTTTGCTTATGTTTTTTTCTGTTTTGTCAGAGTTATTGCCCTTGATTTGGTAAAAATGCAATTTAATTTTCAACTTGTGTCGCATGTAGTTTAAAAAGTATTTGACCTAGGGTCATGAAACTTTACAGGAATGTTGATCAGCGTGTGAAGTTGTGCACCTGGGTATGTTCGTGTGCATTTATTCAGTATTGTAGAATTAATGTCCTTTACTTCAAAAATTTGAAATTTTAACTTGTGTCGAAATAATCTTAAAAATTATTTGACCTAGAGTCATGAAACTTTTCATGAATGTTGCTCAGCATGTAAAGTTGTGCAGCTTGGGTTTTGCATGTTGAGTTTTTTCAGTTTTGTGAGAGTTATTGCCCTTGACTTTGTATAAATTTGCAATTTTCAATTTGTTCATGCATAGCTCAAAAAGTATTTGTCAAGTTGGCCTGAAAGAATGTTGGTCACCATGTGTAATTATGCACCTTGTGGATTGCTTGTGGATTTTTTCAGTATTTGTAAAAATTCTTGCCCTTTACTTTGCAGTGAAAATTTAATTTCTAAAACTAAAATATGGAAACTTAAAATACATATTTTAGTTCATCGATATTAGTCATATACATATTGCCTGATATACAGATCCGTACATTTCCGTATTTCAAATTTCATTTATTTTCACTTGTCTATCTATAATGTACGCAATTCCGTACCATTGTATCCATATATTTTCTGCAGTGGTCATACTGGCGCGTAATGCCGTTTATAGCGGGATTTTGACACAGGGCGATCTTTTTAATGACAAACAAAATAACAAACGCCCTGCGATAGCATGACTTTTATCCGAATGGTAAAGCGAAAAATAGGAAATTTTAGTAAGCCGCTTTGAAGCCGAAAAATGCGGCTAAACTAAACGTCAAATTTACACAAAATTGACAATTTCCTTTCCATTTTCAAACATTATTCGGCGTAAAATGATAAATTATATATCAGCTTAAAGAAAAAAAGTAATTTCCGTCGGATGCTGAAGAATTTTAGATATATTTTATCCGCCTATGGCGTAGTGATACCAATAACAGTTGCCAACAATACGCAATGACGTCATGTTCATGTTGATGGTTAACTTTGACGTCGTGTGAACAAAAATTGGCTGAAACTATTGGAATAAAATCAACATAATCTAATACGAAATATGGCCAACCCTTTGTACATGTATTACTGCAGCAAGTTTAGAATTCAGATAGTTCTTCTGTCATATTTGTCATCAAAAAGTGTGCCCTTTGAATTGTGAAATGCACATGTTTTTACACGTTTACACAAATTATTCAAACTACTATATATTATTATTGTTATAGATTTCTTAATCTTGTTTATTATTTCCCTATGTTTATAAACTCGTGTTGTCTAGTGGCAAGCAGCACTTGTCATTTCCCAACATCAAACTTTAATGTAATATCTACGCACTTATGAACCCTTTGCGGTCCTTGTTCCTATTTTGAATGACTAATCCTCGGAGACCAATACCCCTGAAATATGAATACAGTTTATTTGTAAGAATTGCATTTCTGCACAGTAATGTCTAACTATGGTTGCTGATTGTGTCCTAATGTAATGTCGCTCCGTGGGACTCTGGACGGATGCACAAAAATACGACAAAGTCAACATTCTGTCGTCTTTACGCCCGGGGATCGAAAATGCGACCAAATTGTCACCTTGTCGTATTTTCGGTTTCTCGTCTGACGCTCCGCGGAGCGAAAATACGACTTGGCACAAATTAAGCACAATACTAACACGTATGCCTTACTATCTCATTCTACTAATTTTTTTAGCTCAAGTGATCCACGCAGCAGACATCGATTACTTGAGATCAACAATTACCAAACACTTCTCAGACAACCGAAACCACGTGATTAACAATACAAACAAAATTGCTTCCAAGGAATTTATATACAACGAGTTTAAACGATTCGGACTTGAAACCTACTATCATAACTTCAGTTACACCAGCTTTTCTTCGGTAAGTATTTGTGGTTCTATTTTATTATCCCATTTTCGTGCTTGCTTTACTTTACAACTAGCAGTCGGGAATGATATTAATTTTGAAGATTTTTAAAAAGTGATGTATCCAGTATAAATGATTGTTAAGCTAAATAACAAATTAACAACCAGTTTTGAGACGGTCAGATCCCTGGATAAATCTTTAAAACTAATGTAATATGAATACTGCTCGATTATTTTCTACAACGTAAATGAAAATTAACTCATATATTTGTTTTTATTTTTCTTTTATAGTTAATTTATACGTTGCGCCGTAATTAACCAGAAGTCTCATATTATTAGCACTCTTGCCAGTCCGCATCGGTTTCTACGGTGACGGCAAGTTTTCGTCATTGAAAGGAATAGTAGGTCAAAATCTAATTAAGTCAACGAAGAATTTTTATGAAAATCGCAAGATGTCTTATAATGTGCAAGCCATTCAGGACACTATATAAATCGTATGTTCTGTATTGCTGTTCTAGATAATTCAGCAATATACATTATACTGAAATCATCAACTAGACAAAAATGACTTTTTTTTATCGTACATTACATGTCATTTCATCCGAACTATTTTCGTATTTGAACAGTAAACTAATTTGTATGTCCAGACTATAAAACATATAATAATGATAACACCAACATAAATAATAACAACAACAATAATAATACTAATAACAACAACAACAACAACGATAATTATAATAATAATAATAATAAAAATAATAATTATAATAAAAATAATAAAACAATCATTCAAATAAAATGACATTGCAAAGATTTCAACATATATTCTTTTTCCATGTTTTCAGGAACCATTTGCAAATGTCATTGGCATTCTAAAGGGTACAAACTTTGGAAAAGCAAGTGATAAAATTATCGGACTTGGTGCTCACTATGACACTGTGCAACAGACGAAAGGTAATATTTCATATTAATGTGAGAAGCTTGTCGGATGTAGTTTATACAGAATTTAAGTTCGCTTGTTTAGGAAGCTGTGAGTTTATAGACCCACCCTTGAGCAAGTCCCTGGAACCAACCAATATTAAACAATAAATGTAAAGTTACTTGCTCACAAGAAACACTTGCTTGTCACTGACGGGGTTTGAACCAACTTAGATTAATACTAGTTTAACACGTTAACAATTCGGCCTTTCAAAAATAATAAAACATGAGTCTGCGTGATTAAAGTGTCTGGTTTTTTTTTAATGCGTTTATTTAAGGTCGCCGCCGGAAAGCCCATATGGGCGACCGTACACTCAAGTCGGGCCATCCTAGAGCGTCCCGCCGAGATTTTTTCGTCGATTTTTTTCCAGCTTTTATTGGTGGAGGAAGACCCCAGGTGCCCCTCCGGGCATTATTTCAGGCTCGAGCGGGCACCTTGGTAGAACCACCGACCTTCCGTAAGCCAGCTGGATGGCTTCCTCACATGAAAGATTTCGACCCAAGTGAGGATCGAACCTACAGCGGTGAGGGACCAGTGATCTCAAGTCAGCGACCTTAACCACTCGGCCATGGAGGCGCCTGTAAAAAGTGTCTGGTCAGACTGCAGGTGTGTTATATATGCCGGAGTCATGTAATAATCACACGGGCGTAATATTACCACGCGTGCGAAATTAACGTAACACCGGGTCGTCACTTTATTGTTTGCCATAGATACCTAGCTATGGCTGATAGCTTTGTAAGAATTGAAGGCGATTCACACCATATGCTAGCCTGGATTCCAGTTTGTCAATTTTTTATGTGCTTCTGTGTTGATATTATCAAAAACATGAACGAGTATGAAATAGCGCGTATGTTATGAATAAGCACAAAAATATCAACACCTGAATCCCAGTGTATTGTTGTTGTTGTTGTTGTATTGTATATTTCATATTTACTTTTACTATGTCATGAATTAGTAAAAGGAAACTGCTTCTACAATATTTTAACACACTGAAATGGAACTTTTCAGGTTTTAGCAGAAATACTTTCGCTGTTCTTTGAAAATGTTTTCAATATGTGATATTAATATGAAAAAGGCAAAGTGGCGGCATGGCCGAGTGGTTAATGCGTCGGACTAGTTATCTAATGATCGCTAGCCGTATGGGTTCAAAACCTGTCAGGGTCAAATAGTTGTTTCCTTGAGCAAGAAACTTTGCCATCAATGCTCAGTAATGGTTGGTGCCAGGAACAGATTCGAAAATGTGTCTATAAGATTATAGCTTCATACACAATCGAACAAAAATAAATTCTGTTTAAACCAAAAAGGCAAAGCCTCAAAGCGAGCACGATTTTCTTTTACCGTGAAATACTATAAAATAATCGTTCAATTTTATTTTACATTTTCAGTTTTAAAATCGCCATTCGGTATTTTATGAACTGCTTCCGTTTATTCTATTTCCCTCTCGTCAGGTACGTATATTTACGTACCTGCTCTCGTATTATGGTTCCCAAATAAGTGCGCAGGACATCAGTCCACGCTTCCGTTTTCAATCAGAATACATCTGTTTTTATCGTAATCGAAATTCGAAAAATTGCGATGCGTCAATTCAGTACTTCGGACGAAAGTTTTCAAAACCATCACTATCTAGCAGGTACTCGCGTTACCGTAAAGCTCGCTATAACATGCTTTTCAGTAGACAGTGAAATTATAAAATGTAAATTTCACTGTCTACTGAAAATTTCACTGAAGACTGAATATTTGAATGCGGATAAAAAAAACAATGTGTTTTAAATTTAAATACATATTAATTCACAGGGGTTGATGATAATGGCGCCGGTGTAGCCGCCATGTTGGAAGTTGCTAAGCAACAAACAGGCCAAAGCAAACAAGGAGTGAAGCGCAAAAACACAATTATATTTGTGTCTTTTGACTTAGAGGAACAAGGTAAAATCATTTTATTTCATATCAAGTAGTTCGAAAATGATTAAAAGTTAATGTTAGTCTGGTGAAATAAAAATGTTTCATGTTATACTGTGTGAAAAAATTTTAAATATCAAAGTATGAAAGTACAAGAAGTGTTATCTGTGATAAAATGTATAAATAATTATAATTTTTGAATTATCAAAGTGCATTAAAACAAGAAAACAAAGTAAACCAATGTAATGTAAACATTTAAACACTTTCGTATCTTTTCATAAGTGGCTCATATATATATATGCGATGCATAATAATGATATACAGTAGAATCCCTACTTAAGACCACCCCGGAATAAAGACCATCCCTCTATTAAGACCATTTTTAAAAGAACGAAATTTTCTGTCCTTTATGCTAGAGGTATCATGATCCACAATTAAGATCACCTCAATTATCCACCAGTTTCAGTCCCAATTCATTATTTTATTCTTTACCTTACCCAACTATTTAGATCACTGATAGTCCAGTCAACACCTTTTTAGATCACAAGTTAGTTGTTACCTATCTGATTGAATGCTCTTAAGCATGGCACTTGATGAAACAAGGTGTTAAAACTGTTATGATTGTGGAGTTGTATAAAATTAGGTGAGAAAATAAACTTCAAGTGGTTAAATGTTACTTTCAGCACATTTATTTTTTGGAGAATTAATTTCTTGTCTAATAGGTGAATTATTTACATGAAACAAGGCCTACGAAAATTTATTCCTTAATATAATAATTGAATTTCTTCAGACTTATGTTCAAATGAGAAAAAATATTATATCAATAGTTTATACTTAGTAATATTTGAAGGTTATAATTTAATTGTTTAAACATGTTTATGCACAATAATTAAAATAGAGTGGTCATGAAATATATATATATATGCTTTGATGGTAATGTTCGCAATTAAGACCACCCTGCAATTAAGACCGCTTTGGTCCAGTCCCTTTGGTGGTCTTAATAGAGGGATTCCACTGTATTTTCTTACAAACTTGCTCCGATTAGATAAAAAAAAAAGGTCGTGTGAAAATATCCTAGGTTTTACAAAAACCCTATACACATTTCTTTTACATTTTAAATATTTTTTGTAGAAAAACATAATAATATAAAGGACACCATTTGATGCAAAAAAACCAGTCAGGCCAATGGCCTGCGTGATCAGTTCGTACGCAGCAAAACCCCATACCGGTGTTAAATAGCCAATAAACAAGTTGCTGATTAATTTAAAGATTATAGTGATAACGAACAGGTATAGCGAATATACTTGTTTATTTTATAGCGATGCACATTGACCGTTATATAGATAGCGAATATACTTTAACAGAATATATAGGTAGCGAAAATACTTTAACAGGTTATACAGGTAGCAGATATACATTTACATGTTATATAGGTAGCAACTACGTCGAATATACTTTTAAGGTTATGTGGGTAGCGATGTACTTCGTCTCGTGAGGTTAAGGCATAAGAAAGGTCACGTGATTATGGTATAATTTACGCAAACCCAGAAATCTTCAACGCAGCAATGGTATATCTATTACTTATTGGAAATTATACTTGGAAGAATTTTACATAAGAAGCGCTGAAGAGCTATAGGTTAATTACCAGTTATACAGGTAGCGAATATACATTTACAGGTTATACAGGTAGCGATGCACATTTGTAGCGCCGATATATGTCCAAACGTCGAAAAATGTCCAAACGACGATAAATGTCCAAAAATTGACGATAAATGTCTCAATCGCCGATAAATGTCCAAAACTCCTTTAACGATAAATGTCCAAAAATTAACGAAAAGTGTCGCAACAAAGTAGGTGCTCATAAATGTCCAAATCGGTTAACGATAAATGTCTCAACTTTTCATATGTTAATTTGTAATTTATTGTATTGGATACTGTAACAGTCTATCCAACTAACCCTGGTTTACCCCCGACGTAAAATGTATCATACATTATTGTGCATGGCCAGTTGCAGATCCGGATGGGGCGCGGGGGTAATGTGCCTTAACTCACCGAAGCAATACGTTTTAGCATTGTTTGTGTTCTTCAATATTTTTGTACCCCATATAGCGTTGCCATTGTCCGTCCGAGTGACTAAGTGTCCGTCCCGAAAGTTTGTGAACGGTATAGGGGCGTGGACAGAGTTGCATATTCCTTTACTGTCAAGTGGACAAAAGTTAAGAAAAATATGCAAACTCTATCTGGCAAACAAAGCAGTTAACCTTTATAAACCATGTGAGCTAATCAAGGGGTTAACTGCATTGATAGTTAAAATCTGACTTACTGATTCAAAGTGCCGACCTTGACAGGATGACGCATTTGCTTGTCGGGGGATATGGTTCGACAATGGTCGTTATAAGCATATACGCAACACGTGTTAAATGGGTTTTGTGACTTTTCTCTTAAGCTGCGAAGACGGTCCTTCTCATGCTTACATTGATTTAAGACATTTGTATTTGATTATTACTCATTCGCGCGTGGTGGACTGAACGCCACTGTGGGGCCACCACCTTATAAATACAGAGTTTTTGAAAGGCTACTTACATGTATCCCTCCAGTGTCGACCCAGGTCAGTTTGCACGCAAAATGCGTCACCAGATGAGGGTATGCGCTATTAAACACAGTAATTGGGTCGTTAAGGTTTTGTATGTCCCTACAGTGTGGCACTTTCAAGATCAACCTACATGGGTTATACATGAATATAATGTATACTATAATCAAGTAAATGTTTCAATTTAATAAGGGGAAAAGTAACGCTATATTACCATTTTACAGCTTCTGATTGGCTATAATTATGTCGTGGGGAACAGATAATTATTTCGTTGGGAACAAGATATTATCTCGTGGGAACAAGATAAATTATTTCTTGGGAACAAGATAATATCTCGTGGGAACAAGATAATATCTTGTGGGAACAAGATAATATTCTCGTTTGTGAACAAGATAAATAAGACACCCATGTGTCACATCTGTGCCACCGCTAATTAGACACTTGACGTAATAGTATGTTTTATTGCTGTGCTGGTTGGATACAAACATGTACATTTAAAAAAAATTACTTATATGTCAAATATTAACTTAACAATATTATATAAATAACACATGGCTGTCATTTTGCATTATGCTAACTGGTTACTAAAGCAATTATCGTTTTTATCAATACAGAGTTATGTAAGAGTTATGTACCCCAGGGTGATATAAGAAATATTCCCCGGGAAATATATTCTAGGAGGGTGATATTCGATCAGAACACATTGTAGGCCTATGGGAGTTTTACATTGAAGGATATATTGAGGTATAATAATATATAATTAACACATGATTGTCGGGGTGATAGAGGATATTGTCAACACGAGAACTGGTATATAACACCGAGGCGCAGCCGAGGGTAATATGCCAGTTCAAGGGTTGGCAATATCCTCTATCACCCCGACAGCCATGTGTTATTTATTTCTATTATACCGAAAAAAAAACCTCTTAGGTCAGCAGTCTTTGCCTGAAAGAAAATACAGATCATCATCTCACAATTATAGCGATTTTGATCTGTAAATGTTCGATATACACAAAAATAGTTATAATGTATATATATAAAACAAGAGACAGACAGACAGACTAGGAAATAAATAATAATTATGTAACTGGGTACAAAGGCATTATCGCCCTTATGAATGAGTTACGTAAGAGTTTTTGTGCTCCAAGGTGATATAAGAAATATTCCCCCGGGGAATATATTCTAGGAGGGTGATATTCGATCAGAACACATTGCTAGCCCTATGGGAGTTTTACATTGAAGGATATATTGAGGGTATAATAATATAAATGACACCATCATATAGCAATTATAATGTTTACTATTCGAATACTGTGTAACATTTTATTTTTAATCTGTTAACAAAAACTTTTAACATTTCTTCTCCATTCGACAAACGTTATTTGAAATTATCCACAATGTTGTCAATGAATAATAGGTGTTTGTGTGTAACGTATGTGATATATAATCGATATGATATGTACCCCCCTGTGCATCCCAGTGTCGTTGACGTTTCAGCATCATCAGAAGAGATTTCAAGACACAATTCTATGAATATTCAAAAAAAGTACCAATCTAATACATGTAATAGTAACAACCTTTTTTGTACGTAAAGACAAATTCATCAACTGTTAAGGAAAATTATTAGTTTATGTGCATCAAACTGAATAAATGAATTACGGTTTTTAGAATAAGCATATCTCATTTTCTGTCCAAAAATGTTTCACATTTTCAAGTTATATTAGTGTTCACTATTAATCAAACTGCGCTTTAGTCGTGAAAATAACTCAAAACCTAAATTATTCATTCTCAAAAAACGTAGAATAAATTAATTCTGTCGATAGACTTCAGCAATTTGATGGTAGAAGCAAGAATATAATTTAAATATAGATGAACTATTATTGTACACAGACCACTTGCTCATTAGTCAACGTTTTATTCTGGAAATCATTTTCAAAGTACTAAATGTACAAAAATGACTGTCTGTACCAAACTCATATTTATGATACTTTCAAATCAATACTTATCTTGGAAATCCAATTGATATACATAATGAATTATGTAATTACATGTATAATTGTATATTTTATGTTGAACAGATCACCTATAACAGTGATTTTACGGGTGATTTGCTACTCAAACCTTCCTCGGGTAAGTCGAGGAAGACTTTCAAATATGAATACCAATTCTACACTTGAGTTCACCTTGACTGAATATAGCTATAAGTGTAGAGTAGCGCAATGCAGATGTTAACAAGCATGTATGCCCCCTTAAACACAGCCAATTTAATGTTATAACTTTAGATTTTTAAATGTGTATAACAAATGCATAGTAAATTTGTTATGGAATACATGTATATCATTGCCATGGGGCAGAACCAATATGGCCCATGGGTCCATGAATTGAGTAAACCCTGTAGTTGTCAATGAGACAATGTTACACACAAAATATCTTCTAAAAACAAGCTTTTCATGGTGAGGTCACTGTGACCTTTACCTTTGACCTTTGACCTACTGACCCCAAAATCACTAGAGGTCATCTACTAGTCATGACCAACCTCCACACCAAATATGAGGACCATCAGCCAAAGCATTGTCTAGTTATTGAGCGGAAATGGCATGGTCTACGGACCGACGGACCGACCGACATGGGCAAAGCAATATACCCCCACTTCTTCGAAGGGGGGCATAATAACTTATTGTATTTGACTTTTTATCGTTGGTACCGGGTGCCCATATGATCAACGTCCCCTGAAGATTGTTAGTATATTATTTTTCGGGGGATAGTGCATGATACAGAAGACGCCCCGTTACAGAGGCGACCCTGGTTCTTTTAAGTGCCCGGTGTAAAGCACCAGTACAATGCACCTCGGTTTAACTTATTTTTTTCCCTTTTAATAGTAAGGGAGATAGACTGTATCCAACATTCAACTTATTTTCAAATACATACATTTTTTAAACTTTTTAACAATCTCACAAGCATCCCGCTAGAGTCCCGGTGGCCGGTCGGGTGATCCAGGAACGACCGGGGTACGTCCGTAACTCTGTCGGCAACGTCCGGGATGATCAAGGGCTCTGCCAGGGCTCTACTGGTGATTGTCGGCACTCTATCTGACCGTACCGGGACTCTGCCGACATCATCCGGGGCTGTGCTAGCATGGATCTCAGCTTTTATGATCTCTTTGATCGAAGACTTAACAGCGTTTGAATATCGTGTCTAGGTCATCCGTCGTCCACTTGCTATCTGTAATATCCGTAGTTTCAACTGGACTCTGCATGGATGCCCGGAGTTCATCCTGGTTTTATAAGTATGGAAATTGGGTATCGCCGTAGTTTTACGCCGCGGGGGTAATTGAGACTGCAACCAATATTTTTCATTCCCGGATCGTCTGGGCGTTGGTCCTGGGCTTTGCCGGGATGCTGGTGAGAACGCTACTTAAATCGGTACTTTTAATCCCTTTGGAAACCTTTATAACTGCTGATGCATTATTGTTGATCATAGAAATAAAGTGCAATTAACATATTGAAAAGTTGAGACATTTATCGTTAACGATTTGCGACATTTATGAGCACCTAATTTGTTGCGACATTTTTCGTTAATTTTTGGACATTTATCGTTAAAGGAGTTTTGGACATTTATCGGCGATTGAGACATTTATTGTCAATTTTTGGACATTTATCGTCGTTTGGACATTTTTCGACGTTTGGACATATATCGGCGCTACAACATTAACAGTACAAAAGGTAGCAAATATACATTTGCACAAGATATAGGAAGCTAATATACATTTACATGTCACAAAGGTAGCGCATATGTACTTATACAGGTTATATAGGTAGTGAATAAACATTTACGTGTTATATAGGTAGCGGATAAAGCAAATTTACTTACATAGATTGTTTAGGTAGCGATATATACATGTATTTACAAGCTATATATGTAACGAAAATACATTTACCAGCTATATAGGTAGCGAATACATTTTACAGGCTATTTAGGTAGCGATGTACATTTACCAGTTCGTTATGTCACAAATATAAATTAACAATATATATAGGTAGCGACATTATCTTTTAAATGTTATTTGTGAAGCAAATACGCATTTACATAAGATATAGGTAGCAAGTATACATTTACATGTCATAGCAAATATACTTTTACAGATTATATAAGTAGCAAATATATATGTACGTGTCATATACGACGTAAGTAGCGAATTAACATTTACATCATTATAGGAAGATAATATACATTTATAGTTTATAAAAGTAGTAAATATACAATGTACAAATACATTTACAGGTTTAATAGGTAGCAGTCATTTTATAACTGAATGGCTGGATCCATGGCTATCCGAACATTATAATGAAGCGGCCAAATCCATACAGCCTCATGGAATAATTATTTTGGACACGGTAATGGAATATAATACATCCGGTAATTCTCAGAAATTACCTCCTGGAGCTGAGGCTGCTGTAGGTTCATGTTTCATTTTCTGATTAAAGTAACAATGCCGTTCTGTCATGAAAAAGAGGCTTTTATTTTGCAAGGTTAGGCTAAAAGACATCTTTATAGATAAATACTATTAAATAGTAAAAGCAGTATTTTCTATGATATTTTTAACTAGTAGGATGTATGCATGTTAAGGTTTTACCATTAAAAAGTAGAACACTGTATAAAACAATATAAAGTCAATAAAGAACAGAAAGAAGAATACGCAATACAAAGGTGGAACAAATTACTATTTTTATAAACAAGGGGTTTCTCGAAGGAAAAACTGGGTATAAGAATGGAGTATTTTCGGCGGGCGGGCGTGTACAATTTTTTCTGTGCTCAACTCCTCCTACATTTCTTAAATGAGTTTGATCACATCTTCACAGAAGTTTTGTTATCAAGTGTCGTGGCGAAAATTATCGGTGTTTTACGTTTCAAACATTTTTGGCGGACTAGTGGCCCTATTCGTTTGTTTAAAAATAATTCATATAAATCCACAAAAAAAAACCCACAAAGAAACGCATTTTTAAGCGATTTTGACAATACTTTCACAACATCTATGTCATTTAGTTTACTTCGGCTTATTTTCAGATTTTTCTTTATTCAGATTATTTTGGTGGATTTATGACCCTTTGTTTAAAAAACAACATCAGAGAAATACCATTCTTTTTTTTAACTCCTCCTACTTTTAACTTTCTTTTAAGCTTTGTCATTAAGTGTCCTAGTGCACTTTGTCGTGGTTTTATGATTAAAACTGTTGCCTTTGGCGGGATTTTTGCCACTCATTTAAAGAAAGAAAAAACAACAACAACAGAGAAATACCTTTCTTGTCTCAACTCCTACTGCCTTCCTCAATGGCTTTGCACTAAAATTTTACAAAAGCATTGATATCAAGGGATATTGTTGGTGTTTTGTGCAAATTTTTGGCAGAATTATGGCCTTTTGTACATATAATATAAAGAGTAATATTTAAGCGCGTACCACACCTCTGTTGTGAGTTTAGAAACTACCCAATCTGTTTTATAAGATTGAAATTTGACACATATCTTTGTGTACGATATCACTGTACAAATTCTATAACACCGACCAACATTTTGACAGAATGTTTGCATTTTTCGGCCAAGAATTCTAAGTTATGTTCAGAGACGTGTTATAGGGGTAAATCACTGTCACTGATAACTATTGTTTGATTTCTGCTATGTTTTTATGATATATGTATATAAATGCATAATAAATGATACATGTATATTGTAAATAATAAACAAATAATTGTTCAAAGCAACCAATAAATGACAAAGCAACATAAGATACAACTTCAACCTAATGAATACAGTATCATTATGTCTGTAGTTTGTTGTTTTTATTCACGAATATGCATTTAATTCAATACGATTAGCATTCCAAATCTGTATAAACATAAACATAAAGTTAACAAACAAGCGAGGTTTTACGCACGCGTAAAATGACTCACGGGTCATATCCATATCGGCACCCTCTTTGCGAAATCTGCTCAAACGGTACCCTCTTTGAACATGCACAGGTCATTCTCTGCTAAAAACAAACCAGCGATGAATAACAATACAGTAAAATTTCATTGTAATAAGGAAAGGAGGTATGACACGTGGAAAAGACCACGGAACACTAGAATGTTATATTTATGTGCTGATTTATCATGTACCCGATTTTCATGTACTGCAACTTCACAATAAGCTACAAAAAATCGACATGTCTTGCTTCGCCCATCACCTCGACATATTTTTCGGGCTGAAATGAACCTGTGGCTTGATTATATATGCATCATACATATTCAATATGTTCATATACATATCATCTTCGGACAAATGGCAGTATATTGTCAAAAATGAATGTAAAATTCATAAAAACACCCTACTTTCGGTTTTGCAGCGGCACGGGCTACCTCTCTTCATTTGAATTTTGAATCACAGGTACCCTCTCATTTTTAACACATAGGTACCCTCAAAGCACGACATATGCTTTTATTTTCGTTAATCGTTAAGTATGTAATATTTACACAAAAGTAAGAAATATTACATACATTCTTAACGATTAACGAAAATACGTTTTGTTTAAATGCGAATCAGTTCCACTAAAGGTGGTGACCACGTGTTTACCAATGATTTAATTTTAGCCTGGTGAATCCACGATATTAAATCTCGGTAAAATACAAACAAATGCACAGTCCATTATTTATATTGGGAGATAAAAAAACCATTGTCTTTCCATTTGAAGAAAATGAAAATACATGTACAAATGTTTTTCAACAAAGCCAGAAATTTGAAATTGGCCATGAAGTTTAAAGCTGATGAATGTGAATGTGTTTAGTAGTAAAAAGAGCACCGAAAAACGAGGCTATCTGATTTGTACGAGTATTAATCAGATTGCCGAGTGTTTTGGTGTTCTTTCTCTTTTGATTCATAGTCAAACATAAAAACACGTTCCCTGTTGTCACAATATGAAACCCCGGCAAAAATGGACCAATGAACAAACATCTGAATATGATATTTCTGTCGCTTTCCCTTTCTCTGCCGTCACAATATGTAAACCCCAGCAAAAAATGAGCCAATCAATGGGCATTGCTCTGGAGTGCGGGTAAACTAATACCCGCACTCCAGTTAACGCCACTGTGCATGTATATGTTATACGATTTAAACCCTGACATATTTTCAACAGAAAGGTCTCCAAACTATGATACAAATGTTTTTATGTACCTGTGTTTGTATGGACAACTCGCACAATAAATCGTGTCATTCCTCAGTAAATCAGGCGTCTTATTCAAAAGCATTTAAGACTCAACTGCTTTGCAGCCGAATTTATATTCATCTAGACTTTTTTATATATATTATACATATAAAATTAAAAATTTTTTGGGAAATTTCCCCAAAAAGTTGACAAAATACAAATAAAGGGCTGCACTTTAAAACAAGCCCCTCTATGAAAAAATGGGCGTAGAAAAAAATGGTTTTTTTTCGCCCCTTTCCCCGCGTTTAAACCCTTTAATTAAAATTTTTCAAATTTACGGTGCCGGTATACATTACTACTGTTTTCTTATATATCGATTGGTAATTTTTAACTCATATATGTATGACGTTGCTATTTCAAATTTACAGTTTCATCAACTATTTCCAAAGGCGTTCGAAAGTATGAGTTCGGACAACTTCCAAGGAGATTTTCTGACTTTGATATATCGCAGAACCGCGGATGACTCACTGGCAACTTCAATGACAAAGTCCTGGGCAGCTGAGAAGCGCCCTCAGTTTGAAATAGAATCGTTTCCTTTACCATTTGTAGATGTAAGTTCCCTGAATCAGACCTTGATGAGTTTGTTTGGAAATTTCCTCCGTAGTGACCACAGAAACTTCTGGCTTGACAATATACCAGCGATATTTTTGACAGATTCAGGTATGTTATGTAATTAATTGAAATAAAAATTCACACAGCCATGCATATATTTCAAATGAAAGCAACTTTAAATAAACGCAAAATGAAATCATATTTTTTTTTCAAATATTAACTATACATATTTGTCGGCCTAAAGCGGTCTAAAATCCGTGTACGTTGACTTTTGTGGTCACATGACCAAAGTTGCTTACCCACAGTGTTATATCTTAGTACATATTTTAGTGACGTAAGAAGTTTGTTTATTTAAACAAGAACTTATTAATCTTGTCAAAAATAAGGAGACCACCGATCCTACTCATGCACAAACACACAAAAACATCCGTGCTTATCAAGTACCCTCAGTATACATGTATGGTGTTCAATATGCATGTATAATATGATCATTGATGTGTTCAAAAGATATACTGTTCATAATTTTCATATTTTTATGGATATTAATTAAGTTTTTTTTATATATATTGTGCATATTAATCAAGTATTTATAAATATTATTGCCTATCAACTGCGTATAGATGTTGTAAGAAACTGAGTTAACTTAATGAAGGTTCATTTATACATCTCACAATGCTCCGTTTTGTCAAGATTGAGAACCCCATTGATTTAACTGTCCATTGTAACAATATAATATTTCATGAGAAAGTTAATTTATGATATTCTTTTTTTATTTGCAGTGTTGATCAGTATTACCCTCTGTATGTGTTGCTAATCCGTTGAAGTTATTATGATTTATTATACCATTAAACCGTTCGCATTTATGAACATTCTTTTCAAATTTCGTTTTGATTAAATTTTAAATGTTTAAGTATTTTTTAAAAACATAAATGACATTCAGTATATATCGAGAAACATCTTTAACCTGCAGTAAACCTGCTTTTAATTGCATAATTAGACTTTTCCGTTGTAGATATTTTAGCTCAGTGTTTGTTTTATAATGACAGCATTTTTATAATGACAGTACAATGTATTAATTACGTGTGTAAATTTTCAGTTGCTGCAAATACGTTTACCACAAATTACATAGCATTTGATGGTTAGATCTTGAAAACATTGTAGATATGTGTCTAAACGAAACTGTCCTGTATCTTATACTGATATATTCATGTGCACATAGTATGTGCTTAATTAATATTCATAGATGTATGGATTCAAATCAATTGAACGCATCAATTATCATTTAAGAACAGAATCTACTGAGTTTGGACGTTTTTATATAATGTATTTCGTTATTTTCATGCACATAGGTTTTCAAGATGGTAAGCGTTATTAGTTGTCTCGATATTTTAGAGAGAAATAATAAAATGTAATTTATATCAGTGTTACTTCTTAAGTTAAATATTTACATTGAGAGTAAAAATGAACAGTGTTTTATTTTCTTTTTCACCATAGTTGTTTGCATTAAATTAAAGATAAAACGTTTAAAAGTAGTTTGTTGATTTAATACCATCCAATATCCTTTTATTCATGTTAATAGCAACAAGTTTTATGAAAAGGTCATAACATGTACATAAAAATATGCAAAATTAATTTGAGGTAGAATTTGAAAAATAAATTCAGTCAGGAAGTATACAGGTTCAGATTTATAAAGGGGTTGGGTGGGTCCGATAAACCTTATTATATATTTTAACCTACTTGTACAGTAATTTAAGCTAGCATAAAGGGCTTATAAGTATGACATGATCATGTACATATGATAAAATATGCACTGTAAATATACTAAATCTAAATTTAGTCACACTTCACCCAGGTTATGTGGATTGTTAATATTTACATATTTCTTAAACTCTTGAACCGTTTTTGAAAATTGTTTATTTTTTAAACGTTTTGGAGGCGTGCGAAATAAAAAACAAATTGAGAAATTTTCGAATTTATTTGATTTACACTTTAAGAGAGCTATTTCAATTGATTTTTGTTCTGGTATTATTTGTTTAGAAAAAAACACTTCAGTAATAAAGTCAAGCTATAAAACATTACATGAAGGAAGTCATTCACGCAATGTCAATGTAGTATTTGTTTTGTAATTCAAAAAATCTTAGACAAATTACTGGGTTTCGCCTCCGCGGTAGGTGTTCAACGTCACCGTCTTCGAATCACTTGTCCTTTACGGCCGCGAACATGAGTCCTACCAGTAAATTTGAATTGCTACAAATTAGGAATTTATCCACATACCTTTTGCTTTATATTTATTTGATGTTGTCGTGCAGGACTTTTCCATGGTAATATACCAAAAATCATCATCATCATCATAATCATCATCATCATCATCACTATTGTCATTTTTTGAACAAAGCTCAAGATATTGATGACATCCTGCCCTAAGGAGATATACACAAACTATTACTTGCATCGCAGTTTGTTTCTATCATTGTGCAATGATTTCTTTATACAGCAAATTTCCGTGGAGATATGGTGGAATGCTATCACAATCCTTGTGATGATTTAGCTACTATGCTTACTGATGATAACATTAACTTCCTTGGCAAGACATCAGACGCCATTGCAAGATCAATCAATGAATTGTCAGAGCCAACCAAAACCGGTTAGTTTATTTTACTTAAGGAGAACATGGTAGTCACAATGTTATCTCTGAAGAGGTCGACCAATAACCTCTGTACGGCAACTGTATTAATTTTTCACGTCTTAAATACACGTCAGCAAATATTTAACTTTTGTAAACCAACACTTCTCTCTTACAACAATCACATTGACCGAAATAATGTCTCTCGATAGATGATGTTCTGTGATTTTATTTTGAAATTGCACAAAGCAAAATATTATCTTTACAAAACATGAAATATACAATCAAGACTATAACGTAAATTATTCCTTTAACAAATAAACATAGGATTTATTGAATAATATTATATGTTTTGAGAGAAAAAGATTGAACAACACGAAAATATGATAGCAGTTATTTTTGAATTATTGAACAGTACATAAACGCAAGTGGTATAAAATGTCATAAATTGTGTGTATAAATTTTAAATTTAGAGGAGTCCTTTCAAGTTGTGGGCCATCAAGTTTTTAATCTCTGTCTTTATAAAAGGTTATCAAAAATAAAATGTGTAAATCTAAATTCTTATAACTTTCAATAGTTTGTAAGTTTGAGTTAAAACATTTCTTTTTTTATTGCAGATACAAGTGGATGTACCGGAGCATTTCTAAGCCGTGTGACTTTTGTTTTGATGGTGTTGGCCTTTTTTGTTTTATAATATGATCATACATAATTAAAAAGTAATTTAAGTGATGAGTATAGCGTTCGTTGCAAACGCTGTTACTGATGAATGTTTGTTTAATTAGCATAATCAATGGTAAAAAATATGACGCTTTGCTTTTAAGTTACCTGTGTATTATGTATGGTAGATTCGTTTATTAAATTTACATTTCTTTCTCAATCCTTTGCCACAATATACACATTTAAACATTTTACATTAGTCGAAAGAGAAGAGCATATGATTTGTCATTGTGTTAATGACAATTTTTTCTATTCTTTCATGAAAGTTTTATACATTTAAACACTCGTCACATATTTTATAATGTAACACGAAAGAGTGTGTACACGATATGTTTATGGCATTTTTCAATACAAGTAATTCATGAAAGCTTTGTTACATTTAAACATTTGTCACATATTTTTGATGTAACACAACAGAGTACAAGAGTATTGTTTTGCTAATGTCAATTTGTCAATAATAATATTCGTGAAAGCTTTACACATTTACACATTCGTCTGAAATCGTATGATGCACGTTAATTATTTCGGGTTATTTCTAAAATCGGGTTCATTGGTCATTTTAAAAGTACACACTGAAATCTAGGAATCTCTTTGGCCATTCTAAAATAAAATGTTAATGATAGATTTTAACATTCAAAAATGAAATGTTAAGGAAAGTTCTAAAATAAAATAAAAAAGATAACTATTGCCTTTATAAAATAAAATGTCACGAGTGGTTCTAAAATGAAATGTGCAGGATAGTTCTTTAAGTTTCCAGAAATTTAAGTTCTGTTTAACAATTCTTCCTCCCACAAGACATTTTACACTGCGTTTATACACCGTGGGTAAGCAGCTTTGATTACGTGACCACAAAAGTCAACGTACACGGCCAAAATAGCTCGGCTGAGGTAAGTTTTTTAGTGATTATTTTTCTATCGAGCCAATTCAAATTATTAATTACATAGCCTACCGACCGCGGCTGTTCCGATGCTTTCTAAAAATGTATTTGATGTCGTCCAACGTTTTGTATTTTATGAGATCATTCAAACAATGTTTGCAAATTTTCGATGACAACGTACACACTATTGTGTAAAAGTGTTGATAATATGTTAATAAACGATACGCATGTCAGTTCTAAGTAAAATTTCAGGTTTAAAATATATAAGAGAATGTTTTAATGAAAAAAGAACTGGTTTCCTGCTTTCATTTTTTGTATTTATTTAAAAATTGACCAACTTACAGAAATGTCAACGTACACATACAGTCTAGAAAGTGTAAACGTACACACTCCCAATTTAGTTTGATAGTGGTCTGAACATGAGGCTGCAACTTCGAAATAGGTGGCTTTTTCAACAAAAAGTTGGCTTTCAATTTAGATTGCCCTCTTAAACTGTATATAATTACTATTATTTTTACAAAGGAAATAGTTTAGAGTGCATTCATTTCATCGCAAATAAGCTTAAGCAACCTTTAACTTTTTTATTTATGTACTTATGTTTTCTAGAAGACAAATTTCCAGTTACTCAAACTGCTTAATGATTAGCTGAAACAGCCGTTTTTGTATTTTCTGATCGCAAGATCCGATAAATACATAGCTCACATCCACGGTCTGACACAACATTTCCTAACAGTCTTAACAACGCAATGTAGTTCTCACTCAAAACTGCTTAAAAACCAGCAATTTATAAGAAAGAACAATTTTTGTTACAAGTGTCCAACAAATTACTACACATTCAAACTTTAAAAGTAGCGTTGGCTTATAGAATTGTCAAAAAATGCACACTCACAA